AGTCTATGTATTTTCACATTTTCTGCGACTCCGCGTCCGCTAGCGTATTGTGGGGGGGGGTGCGGGGGGCGGGAGGGGGGGGGGGGGGGGGGGGGGGGGGGTAATGTAAAACACAGAATCCAGTTGGTCTCGCCTAATCAGCGATGGTGATACTTAATTGTCGCATTTAATAATTTAATAATTTTTTAGAATCGATTTTTTTTTAAATAAACCATGGCGTATGATGTTTTAATTTCTAAGCCATGTAGTCCCTTCACTATCTATATTTCTTTCGCTTCGACAAATAGTAGTGAAATTACACTGAAAATATATATACTTAAACTAGACTTCGGATGTCAATTTTGGTTAATTTAGTTATATATACACACTAATATCGAGAGTCACTTGTATTTGTAATTATACATTATTTAATAACCGTATTTGACTATTCTACAATTAAATAGCATTTTTCTTACATATAAACATATCGTTTCTAAGTAATTTGCAATTATCAAATATACAGTGTATACTATTATGTTAAAATGATAAATATTTATATAATTATAAAAATTAGTAACACTTAATATTAAAAATATCTAATAAAACATTAAAGCAATGGACTAGAGCAGACAAGATTCACAATATAGAAATAGAATACAAAAATACCAACCTCAACAATATCATTCCAGATAAAATATGCATCATTTTATTCAGATTTTCTTTCATTTTTTCAAGTTTTATAAATTATTACCTATTTGTCAATTGGTTTAAAATTTGGTTCGATGTCTTTCAATCATTTCTTATTTACTGAAGAAGTTTAAACAGCTTGAAAGACATTTACCTGTATAATATACTATACATTATTGGAAATTATTTAAATAACACTCATGTGTACATACATCACCTAAGCAATATCTCATCATTGCTAGAATTATCTCATCTATTCATTCTGTCATTTTCTTTCTCGTATCGTTTTGGCTCATTCTCATCCGTAAGCACTTATCAAGGTGATCAAAATTTTCAGATTTTTCAACTTTTGTAGTACTTGGGTGTTTCGCTCATATTGTTTAGAATGATAAGAAATATGTAAAAGAAAAAACAGATTGTGTTTATTAAAATTGATTATTAATCAATACACTAAGCTGCATCTTAAATTTAAACCCAGTTTCATAACTTTTTTTAGGGGTATACTAGGTTCGTGTGAATTCGGCAGATCAAATTTTTATATCAGTTGTCCCAGAATTTACTTTTTCGATTTTATGATCGCTGCACTTAAAATCGACCTATGGAATTTTTAGAAATTCCATTGGTCGATTTTAAGGGCAAAGGCACGTGATTTTTTAAATCAAAAAAGAATATGATTGGCCTTTGCTGGAGTCTGCAGCACGTGATATGTTCGAAAACTGAGACTTTCGACTTTCGGTACTTTCGACTTTCGGTACTTTCGACTTTCGGTAACACTTTCGACTTTCAGCATGACTTCGGAGCCATCCATATTTGTGACTTAGCGATTTCAACTGTGAGTGTTCGTTTTAGCAATGCAGATTCGTGGCTTTGACGGAGATAGATAGTGATTTTGATAGTGGGTGAAAAATATACAAGATGTGACAATTATGATCACGCTGACCAATTGGAAATTAGATCTTTGGACACTTAGTGATTTATCTCTGTTCCTTGCACATTTCATTCGTTGGCAATAAAATATAAAATTCTGCACTTACAAGCTGTTGATTTAACACATAATATAACAAATAAAAGATTAAGTAATAAAGTAGACGTTTATAAATATTACAGAAATTTTCAAATGAGAAATTATCTGTGGCTATGCTAAAAACAAATAAAAACAGACAAAATATTAAGTGGCGCAAAGCGCCAACATACTAGTGTATTCGACTATAGCAAAATTTTAAAATAGAATTTTTTTTTATATTAGATTATTATTATTTGTCGAGAATTGGTAATTTTAACTGATAATAAAATATCGGGATGTTATATCTCAAAACCCTACTAGGTAATTTCTTAGCAAAAATGTTCAAACCCCAAAAAACCTTACGTTAACTTAAATTTTGACCTTTATATCTGACCCTAATCTTAAAAATATAAGGGCAGAGGTCTTACCTCCTGTTAATCAATTATTTCTTTTTAGTATTAATTTATTTATTTATTTTGTTTTTTTTTAGTAATATCATCGGTGGAAATTAACAAGATACCTCTCAAATATAGCAAAAAAAATTCCTTAGTTAATCAATTTTGCTTGATTTTATACAACTTATACACTTTAAAACAAATTACTTTAAGAACGATTATCCGAATAAAAATTTGATCAGTTGAATTACAATAATGGTATTTGAGGAATCAAATCCTCCTCCTCGTCCGAACATTGAAATCCCTGAGGCAAAAGCCAATTTATTTTCTTTGATTATTTGTTGGTGGGCCAACGATTTAATGAGCTTAGGTTATAAACGTCCTTTGGAAAAAGATGATCTATACATTTTAAATGAAAAGAGATCTGCTAAAATTATTACAGATAAATTTGAAGTCGAATGGCAAAAGGAAATTCAAAAAATTGCGATAGGAAAGAAACCATCTTTATTAAAAGCTCTATTCAGGGTTTTGTGGTTTAAATTTTGTTTGTCTGGTGGTTGTAGATTTTTTAGTGATATGTTAATTGTTGTTTCGCCTTTGATTTTAAGGGTATGTTTTCCTGTGATTAGTTATAACTCATCTTTAAAAAATTAATTTATCTTTAATATTCTCAATGCTGTAGTTAATATTAAACTTTGTTTCTGAAGCATATTTCGCTAACTTAAATAACGGTGTGCAACCACCTGCATATGTTGGCTACATATTATGCGTTGTTTTGTTCTCGCTGAAAATGAGTGATAGTATTTTGTTCGCCGCTAGCCTTTATTGTGGATTGGAAACTGGTTTCCTATCTCGCACTATTCTCATAACTGCTATCTATCGGAAAGCCTTAGTCTTAAGTGGAAAAGCTAGAAGTTTATTTACTAATGGAAAGATTACTAACTTAATGTCCATTGATACTACGCGTATAGACTATGTGTGCGGTTATTTTCACGTGATTTGGTGTTCTCCTATTCAAATATGTGTAGCATTGAGTTTGTTAATATTTAATATTGGTCTATCTGCATTAGTTGGTTTTGCTTTATTAGTATTAATTGGTCCTATGCAAGGAATGGTTATGTCATTATTGGCACGTACCAGGGCTAAAGCTGCTAGTGTTGCTGATGAACGAGTAAAACTAACTCAAGAGATTTTATTGGGAATTAAAGAAATCAAATGTTATGCGTGGGAAGATAGTTTTGCGGATGCTCTTAATAAATTAAGAAATAAAGAGATTAGTTTGGATAGGTTTTTGTTAGTTATTAGATCTGCTATTACTGGTGTTTCAATGGTAATTTTCTTATATTTGCAGTAGCAAAATCTGATTATATCTTTGCTTCTCTTAATTGTGCTCGATTCTTTATAGGTCGTTCCAGTATTTGCTTGCATTTTATCATTCGTAACATTTTCATTAACAGGAGGCAGCCTCGACGCCGGAATCGTATTCTCTTCTTTAGCACTATTCGGTACTCTCCGAATACCTTTATTGCGCTTGCCAATTGTTATAGGTTCTTTTACTGATGCCTATGTAGCAATTAATCGGATAAATGAATTTTTGCTAGCTGATGAATTACCCGGTTTACCGGTAATTAATCCGGACGAACAATATGCTATTAAAGTTACTGATGGTGAATTTATTTGGGAAAGTGCTTCACCAGAAGAAATTATTGCTAAACCAAAAAAAAAGAATAAAGAAAAAAAATCAAAAAATAATAAAAATATTGACGAGAATGAAACTGATTTTTTAAATGGTATTACTAATACGGACATCTTTACAGCTTTTTCTCCTGATTATTTGACAGAAAATTCTTATCTACTTTCTCCAAGATCTCAACTTCGTAACATTAATGTTTCGATACCACGTGGAAAACTAATTGCCATTGTTGGTTCTGTAGGATCTGGCAAATCTTCATTATTGTCAGCTCTGGTTGGTGAAATGAAAAGAATTAAAGGAGAGGTTTCATTTGGTGGAAATGTTGGGTATTGTCCTCAAACTGCGTGGATACAAAATGCTACACTTAGAGACAATATTACTTTTGGACTACCTTTTGATGAAGAAAAGTACCGACAAGTGATTAAAGATTGTTGTTTAGAACCAGATTTAGAAGTGTTACCCGCTTCTGACTTGACCGAAATTGGAGAGAGAGGGATTAATTTATCTGGAGGGTACGTTATTATATTAATTATATAGTTTAACAGAATATCAATTTTTTTTAAAAAAATTTCGATTTTGATTCTTCAGACAAAAACAGCGTGTCAACATTGCAAGAGCTGTGTACTATAATGCTGATATTGTGTTATTAGATGACCCATTATCGGCAGTTGATGCACAAGTTGGAAGGTACTTATTCACAAACTGCATTCAAGGAGCACTTTCCAAAAAAACACGCATACTTGTTACACATCATTTACATTATCTACCACAAGTTGACTACATAATATATATGGAAGACGGTGAAATTGCTGAACAAGGAACTTATAAGGAATTAATGAAAGATGGGAATACATTTTCGAAATTGATTGCAGAATATGGTGAAGCCAAAAGCAGTGATCAAGTAAAAAAAAACAAAGAATCAACATTGGACGAAAAAAAAATAAAAAATCACACAATTGTTTTATCTAAAGGATTAATGTCAGAAGAAGAACAGTACAGAGGGGCAGTGGATAATGAGATATATTTGGCATATTCTAGGAATGCGGGTGGATTTTTATTGGTACTCACTGTTATTTTCTTACTAATTATGTCACAAGGAGCAAATACTGGGTGTGTATTTAATTTATTATATTAATGCTTTACTACGAGTTTGAATTTCACAATCTTATCTGTTATAATAATCAAGGAAATCACTAAACTTATAACTCTTTTGATTCTTAGAAATAATTTATGGCTTTCGTTTTGGTCCAGCAACACGTTTGACCTTTCAAAAGGACTTTATGTAATTATCTTTAAAATTGATGAATTCTCAAATTACGATATAACATACATAGCTAATCTAATTTGCATTAATAGATAGGTATTTATTGTGCATGGGGAGCCGTTGAAGGATTTTTTGGTGTCTTGTGTGGTATCATGCTTTCCTACGGTGGTGTTAAAGCAGCCAAGAGATTGCATGATAACGCAATTAAACGTGTATTAAGAGCGCCAACAAGTTTTTTTGATACCACTCCTCTAGGAAGAATTATTAATCGGTTATTATCATGTCTAACTTATTGTCGAACAACTTATTTTTAATATTTTCTAATCAAAATTCATTTAATACCAGATTCAGTAAAGACGTCGACACATGCGACAATTTACTTTCTGAATCATATCGAATGTTTTTTATGAGTTTTTCGAACATTATTGGAACTTTTATCCTAATTGTAGTAGTGTTTGTGTGGTTCATTATCCCGTTGGTTCCTTTGATCATACTTTATTATTTATCGGCTCTTTATTATCGTTCGTCTAATCGTGAATTAAAACGTAATTAAATTTTATTATCACTTCCTAATAATAAATTATATATTTACACATTTAAAAAATTTTTTTTTTCTTTATTACAGGTCTTGATTCAGTATTAAGATCTTCACTATATGCCCATTTTTCCGAGACACTTTTAGGGCTGCCGATTATTCGTGCTTATCGTGAACAAAAAAGATTTTTGAGGTTTATAAATTTGATGCTTTATTAGTTTTTTGTTGGAATTTCTTAATGATCCTTTCTTTCCATTTAAACATAAAATAAAATAGAAATAACGAAGCATTCTTAGATACCGAAAATAGAGCATACTTTCTCCTAATATGTGTTCAACAATGGCTTACAGTACGTCTTGAAACCATCACAAATGTCTTAGTATTTTTTGCAAGTTTGTTTGCAATTGTTTTTAGATTTAGTGTTATGCCTTCAATTACTGGATTAGTAATGGCTTATGCACTTCAAGTTATTGTGGTTTTTAGTTGGTGTATTAAAGAATTTTCTGAATTAGTGAGTAAAATAATAATATTTTAATAATGTATTTTAAATTACTAAATTTTTCATTGTCGAATGATAGGAAGCAAATATGAACTCAGTGGAACGCTTAATTCATTACAGTGAAAATTTGGATGTAGAAGCCAAGAATATAATACCGGAAAACAGACCACCATCTGGATGGCCAACTCGTGGAGAAATTCACATTAAAAATTTGGAAATTAAATATGGACCTGATAGTCCTCTAGTTTTGAAAGGCATCACAATTGATATTATGGCTGCTGAAAAGATTGGAATTGTTGGTCGAACTGGTAAATTTTGGGTCTTGGCTTGAGAATTGTTGAGATACAAATATTGAATTGTTTTAAATAATAGGATGTGGAAAATCAACGTTAGCAAAATCGTTCTTTAGAATTATCGAGGCAACTTCTGGAAATATTGTAATTGACAATATTGATATCAGCGCTATTGGATTAAGAGACCTTAGAAGCAATATTACTATCATACCTCAAGACCCTGTACTATTTAATGGTACAATAAGGTAAACAAAAATTCTCGATTCTACATATTTATTATTAAAACCTTTCTGTAAATTAATTATTAGAATCTCTTTTTAAAAAAAAAATTAGAAGCAACTTGGACCCATTCAACAAACATAACGATCTCGAATTATATGACGCGCTTCGTCGTGTACACTTAATTGAAAATTCCAGCCGTATTTGCGAAAAAAAAAATTCAGAGCAGAAAAATGGCAATCATGAACCACTAATGCTTGACTCAATTGTCAAAGAAAATGGCTCGAATTTTTCCCAAGGTCAAAAACAACTGATTGAAATAGCCAGAGCACTAGTTCGTCATACCAAATTGATAATAATGGATGAAGCTACTGCTAGTATAGATTTTAAAACTGATTATCTAATACAGGCTACAATCAGGGAGGAGTTTAAGGATCATACTGTTATTACTATTGCGCATAGGTTACGAACTGTTGCAGACTATGATAGAATTCTGGTTATGGGTATGTAGTTTTCAAAGAAAATTTTCAATAAACTTGAAATATTAATTCCTTTACAAAACTAGATGCTGGAAATGTAATTGAATTCGATATTCCATATCTACTGATGCAAAAGTCTGATGGAATGTTTAGAAAAATGTGTGAAAGAAGTGGTGAATTTACAGAATTAATGGAAATTGCAAAGCAGAAGTTTGAAAATATATCGTCGACACAGAGTTATCCAGTCGTGCCGCGAAAGAATTTGTAATCCTGTGACATCCTAGCCAACCGGTCTAAAAAAAAAAACAGACTGTTGATACTGTTAAAATAAACCTGATACTTGAATTAACCACAATAATTTATATCTTTGAAATTTGTATTTAACTTAATAACTAAATATTTTTAACATAAAATTAAATATGTAATATCATTGAATAAACATTACCTTTAAATTGAATGTCTACATTATCAAAATTAAACATGTAAAATTGCAAAATTAACATTTATTCTCGAAATCAAATAAATTTATTTAATATGATTTAAATTGAATATAATATCTTTGAAATTCAATGAAATTAAAATTTCAATTAAAATTTACTGTGTAAATACCTCTCAATTTGTGAACTTTTATGTGCGGCCACTATTTTTCATTGGCGCAGCACACAGAAAAAATTTTTCATACATAATTTTTTTTTTTTAAATAGATGTGCAGATACTGCACAGAATAAATTGTAAGTAGTGCGACTAGAGATGGGAAAATCGAGGTTTTTTTGAAACTACTGCGCAGGCTGCACAGCCTACATAACCTCAGTCCCTAGAGACTTTTACTCATTAGGTTTCGCGTTTATATATATAAAACATCTACTTCATATGTGTAAAG